GCTTGAGGATTGAGGATAAGAGAAAAGGTAAAAAGGTGATGATGTGAAGACATGATAGCTTTATATGAAAGCAGAGACCAAGAAACCAATGCAGTGGGAAGAGAAGTTGAATAATATACATCCTTCCAGAAGAGTTTTTCAAAGGAAGAACTCGTTGCCAAATCGGCTTCTGTGAGTTCTCTTTGACAACTGTCGTTTCTCAGCAATGCCAAACTATATCCTTCTTCCTCCATCTGTTCTTTATCCCATTTATATTCAATCGTTTAAGAAGTTTCAAGGAATTTCAAATCTATTGTTTAAATTAGCTAAACTATTCGAGCTTCAAAAAGCATCCTACTATGATAAAACTTTTATTTCATAGTCAAGAATTATAAAACTTATTCTACTCAAATAAGATATTTTTATGAAATCATTTTACATCTGTTATTGGAAAATGATTTAACAAAACTAATGGAGCATAAACAATTTGTTCAATTGTTTGGAATAATACAAGTATTGAATTATTTATAAACTGTATTTTAGAATTATAAATACTATCATTATATTTTTTTAATATTCTCTAGTGTTGTAAAACATTTATTGCATTCACGTTTATTTTTTTTACACCTACAGAAACACAGTAATTATGATTAAAATCTCGATTTTATCTTTAAGCATTAATTAGTAATAAAGTTATTATCAATAATGTATACAACATAGCTATAAAGTTTTAAAACATCTTTAGTATTTTATTTTTTACTGAATAATAATTTTACAATATCCGTTTTCGTTATTAAATATTCAATTAAATTTTTTCAGCGTTGGGAAAATTGAAACATTAATAATCAAAAATAATAAAACTAGTTGAGTAATCTGCTATTTGGAAATTAATAATTCAAAGTTTATTTATTAAAAATCTTCAAAGCCAATTTTAATAATAAAACTAGAAAAAACTCGACAAATTTATGAAATTATTATGAGATTTCTTCAACATTTTTTTTCAGATTTCAGCAAAACATTGGTTAAAAAAAATGAAGATATTTTTCTTTTAAAAGCAATTTTTTTTTTATAAATCAATGATAACATTTTCTTGGCAAGAACAAGAAAAATCTTAAAAATAGCGATAAATTATTATTATTTATTACATAAAGTTATTTTCTTAATTAATAGAAATACTAGAATATAAAAAATCAACTTGTACTTGACATTTACATTTCCCTTTTCTTTTATTACAACGTTACTTTTTTTTTACTGCTTTAGTACTTTTGCAGCATAAAAGTACTTGATCTTAAGAAGTTCTCTACACCAACTGCACAATATATGACACAGTGGACAGAAACTTCCATAAAGTTTACGATCATCAGATTTAACAACCCAATAAATATTGATTTTTTATCATCATTTGCAAACACCTGGTTTGAAAACCGTTACACCACTCTAACTTAAATTACATCAAGTTTTAATAGATATCAGCTACCAGTTGTGTTGACAACCCATAAAAAAAAATGCTAAACAAAAAAAGAAAATGATGATATAATTCTTGATATGAAGAAAGTCTAACAAGAGTCAATGTTTTTTAGAAAGGTTGAAGCAACATAAAAGCCTCTGGACCACGGTCTTAGGTACCTATGACAGCTGTCAGGCTAACGTGGTTTCAGAAATCCGCAGCTGTCGCTTCTTGAAGAAACCTTAGGAGAAAACGTATACCTACTATTCTCAACTTGCGGTATCTTGTATACGGAAATATAATGTTAGAAGCATATTCTCGTTTTGTCTTATTATTTTTTTTTTGTATCTCGAATACAACACTTCATATTAATACATATGATACATATGTGCATATAACCAAACAATGTGTGTATATTTGTATTGGATCACACACGAAACTCATCAGATGGTTAGTCAACTTATGAATACGTTATATTATTTTTTGAATAAATAAAAATTTTATACATTCAGTCCATGATGAAGTATATTCAAATATTTGAACGGCGAAAAAAATGGTAAAAAGTTGCAAAGAGTTATATGGACGTTGAATTCGAGTGAAAACCCTGAGCCAAAAAGGGCAAGTTTCCAAGTAAAGCTCATTTACAATACACCACCTGCTGCACGTCGACCCATTCCTCTGAATAAACCACATGTGGGTACGGTTAGGTGAACGTTCGATTGTACGATTTTTTTTTTTGCTTTGAAACTTTCGAGACTAATAATTTGTATTTTATAGATATTTTATTGCTCAATATGTAATTTACAGTTGTTTTATAAATTAATTATTGGCGATTGATTTAAAAAAAATCGAGATTTAGAATTGAAGTGAAATAAAGATAAATCAACGTAAAATATCTGTTGTCGTATTGATGCGTGTTTCTATCAGAAAGATTCAATTATCCATCGACAAAAAATAACAAGCAAAATAATACACTTGTGTTTTAGTGGAAGAAATGACATTTTCTTTGTACAATCGATGCAATCAATGTTTATTTGGTTTGAGACAATAGAATTGTTTGGATTCTAGACAATTATGCCAAGTATATTGCAAGATTTTTATTGATATTTTACTTCTTTTTTTAATTTATCAAATATTTTGAACAAAATGAAGAACATTGATTAATTCATCTTATTTTTCGTATTATCAAAAAGTATTTTATCTAAAAAAAAAAAGAAAAAATGAGTGAAATTATTGAAGAATATTTTTTAGTTGCTATGTAGGAAGCTGTTCATTGTATCATATTTTGCGAGACAGGAAAATGGAAATTCACATCCTTGGAATAACATTATCATATTTTTTTCTTTAGATCTCCTAAAAGGATACGATACTAAACTAAGGGTTGAAATTCAACCCGAACGATAGATAACATTACCGGAATTTTTCAGCTTCTCTTCCAACGTTCCTATGTCCAAATAAGTCAGAAAAAAAAATCTTGGTACATCCTAGACTAAATTAATGAGCTGGGAATATTTTTTTATTGAAAAGAAAAATCGATGGAATGTAATCTCAAAACATTTGCTTCATGAAAATGTTTTTATTTATTTTTCCTTGTTGTTTTTGGAATAATTTGTTTAACTGGAAATATATTTGGTACATTGGATACATGTATTTAATATGATGGAATGCGAGCTACACTTTTGTCGAGAGAAATGCGACAAAATTTACAGAAGGGGTTGGAGTAAAATCACAAAAGGATTTTTGTTCCATTGATTCAAACTTTCCATTACGACATTAATTCCAAGAACAACAGAAAAGAAAGACAGATTTATAACTTGAGTAAAAATTACTAGTAAAACCATTGTTGATTAAGAATATTAAATTATATAAAATTCCGATAAAAATTATTCTAAAACGATTATTTGACATTGATTCATTAATAGTAATTTTTTCTATATTTTTTTGTCCCGAAATTACCTCATCATTTTAATGAGAATAAAGCAAATAAATTATGCACTTGTGTGCAAAATTTTGTTATAAAAGACTGAACTATGTATTTTTTAATAATTAAATTTTTATTTTATTTGTGCACTTTTATAAATGATCGAATTCATAAATTCATGAATTTATTTCATATGTTTTCGTTTTTATACTTCATTGAGTTTTAATTAAAAATGTTTTATGGATACTGAATAATTACAAAAAAGAGCATTTTTATCATTAATTCTTCATTGAATGTAATATAATTAAATTTATGAATATACTAGGTGAAATGACAGTAATAAAACATCGACACATGTCCTGTTTTGTAATTAAGTTATTTTCGTAAAAAATTTAAAAAATTGTTGAATTTTATTTTTGTTATAATTCTATAAATATAATGAAATTTATATTTTATAAATTGAAGGAAATTAAATAAAATGGTTATGGATTTATCTTTTTAAGAACATTTCATTTTCGGCAGACATACAGTATGCAAAAGTAAACGAATATTTGTTTCCACGATATTTCGTAAAGCTAGTCAAATTTATTTGTAAAGTCTACAAAATGAATGTTTTATAATAAGTCCTGTGTAATTACAGTATAAATTAGTTTAATATTTTTCATTTGGTATATGTACTTATTAATAAAAAAAAAGTAAAAATATAGGGATTATTATTAATATATGAACGTAAGTCTATTAAATAACTTATAATTTATGTATCAAAGATGAAAATGTAATTTCGTAATCATGATAATAAGTACATATGGATAAACATTTATGTTTAATTTCAAGTCTTTCAGTAGACCCAACTAACTTTGATAAAAAAGTTACAAAGAAAATACATGATTATTGTATTATAATTTCGACAAAATTGTCTTCTTTTAATAAACACCAATCAAAAATAATTACGATTATTTCAAATAAAATAATAATCATAATGATAATAATAATCTATATGAAAAAAACTTTAATATTAATAATATAAGCAACGATTTTTTATCCTGATAAATTCATAAAGTACGTTGTAAATACTTTATTGTTCGGAATACCTTGATATTCAGAAGAGCTCTATTTTTCAATTGAAATCTCAATTTAGAAGTAAAAAAAAAAAGCAAACAAACAAAAGTTCATTAAATGTTATTACTTCAGGAGCCTATCCATTTGAATAAAGAAAATTAATCGTTATCCGAAATGATCTACTGAGTTGTCAATGTAATATGAATACATGTCATTGCAACACTTTTATGAAACATATAACATCTATGTCTAGAAAAGCAAATACATTTAAGAAAAAAAAGATACTAGAAAATAACCAAAGTTAAATGAATTCTAATTACTATTAAAAAAATAGAAATGTTTAGAAACATATAATGATATGATAACTAGAAACAAATTATTGTACCAACAATAATGACGCAAATATAAAATAAAAATTATTAGGTTAACTATGTAACATTAATTTAGCAACTATTTGAATCTTTAGAACATGGAAAATTAATTAAAAAATATTTTCATAACTGAATTCGATAATGTTTATTTTTATAACGAAAGAATTTACTCTTCAAGTATTTTTATTATTATTTTTATCAGAAATCCAACATTTATTTCTATCATAAGTTAAGAATCTGATTCACTCTTATACATATATAGAGTGGAGCTTTATAAAAAATATTCATCAAATTCAGTTATACATCCAAAAAAAGTGATTGAATTTACTATTAAATGGAAACAAAGAATATTATGCGTTTATGTCATAAGATTGTAATTCTACTTGATAGTTTTCAATCATTTAGTAAATTTTAGGATTAATTTTTTCTACCTCTAGCATGTCTAATGCTAGGAAAGTCTTTATCAGTGAATGCAGTTTTTTGTTGATCATCAAGAATTTTAGCCAATGTTCGTGGTCGTCTCATTTGTTTAAGCTGTAGATAATAAAAATAGTTGAAATAATATTTTAATGTTGAATATTCTTTTGTCAAAAATAGATAAAAACTAAAATATAAATAACTTACTGGCTTATATGTTTCATCAACAAACGGAACAGTATTTCCAGCAAGTTTACTGTGGTCAATAATAGTCAGTTTAGTATCTTTTCTTCGTCGTTCTTCTTCTTCTTTTGCTGTACGAAAAGATACTCTTTCTTGATATTCTCGTGACACCTTAATATTAATATCAATATATTGTTATTAAAACTATATAAATAAATGTTTTTAAAATAAGTAATAAATAAAATAAATTTAAAATTTGATATAAAATTAAACATCGAAAATACAAACCCCAGTTTCAGATTTCAATTTGCCGGCTTTTTCTTTTAAACTCAAATATTGCAAACTGTCACTTAATGCACTACACTCTTGGTCTTTTTCACTTTCTGGACAATTAATCCCTGGACGCATTGCGATTTTCAATCGTGGACAACAATAATCACAAAATGTAAAAATCCATTGGTGAAGAATGGCTTGGCTACAAAAAGGCTTCGTTCCTTCAATGCCTAAATGGTACTAAATAAATAATATCTTTCATAATTTTAATATTATACTTTCATAATAAACATAGTTGTATAAAAAACTTAAAAAAAAAATCGAAATTAAAAATTTTATGACCATAAAGTTATCAAAATAAATATTGCATTCTAATTATGATGCTCAAAATTTATCATATTTCGATTTCTTTTTGTTTATTATTCATTATTACTATTAAAATTATAAAATAATTTACCGAACACTCAATTTTAGGTGCCCAAGCAAATGTTATTGAACCGTTAGTAAGTTCAACTTCAGCAAGGACCGATGGAGTGACACTCGCAGGGAAATCAGGATTTAGATACTTCATGTAACTACCAAATAAGTATTCTAACGAATACAAATCAAAGGTATTGTCAGGGATTTCTACAAGAAAAACCATTAATTTTTCAAGTAATCAATTAATTTTACAAACTCATATTAATGTTTAATTTTTACCGGCAGCAGCTGTCATTCTTCTGAGCAAGCAAGGCACGACTGTTTTAAAGTTATCAGTGGTGTATAATGGAGGTAGTTTATTATCAGATGTCATTTGATGTTTTAAAAAATGAATGAGTTTATTGCACATAATTTTGTAATCTTCTTCTCCTTCAGGCAAGTCATTATTAAGCTTATGTGTAGTATCACTGACTTCTGCAGCTTCTCGTGCATATCCTAGTTCAATTTGTGTGTTAATGATCTGATGATAAAGTCTTGAAGCTCCACTTTTTATCGAAAATTCGCAAACCGCAAATTCGGCTGGAATATAATCGACTGTTGAATCCAGTGCTGTTTTAGTATAAAAGTAGTTGACATGAATGAAGTAGAATGGAATTGTATCAACCGCTGCAGAGAAAAAAAAATTAAAGTATTCATGAACAAACTTTATCCAAGTTGTCTCTTATAATGTTAAGATATAATTAATATATCATGATTTTCTAGATAAAAAAGTATTTCAGTCATTGTTGATAAATTGAAGAAAGTACTGACCATTAAGTAAATCTGCTTGTTCAATTACATTATCAATATATTGTTTCATATCTTCTTCATATTTTAACTTTGATATTTGTTGCTTTTGAACTGAATCTATTGATTCTCCAATAGTAGTTAACGGTTTTGTAGTTCTTCGTTGCATTGCTTTTTCTTGTTTTGCTCTGTCATTATATTCCTTCTTCTGCTCATCACTCAAAGCCTATGTACAATAACTGATCATATACATATCGATAAAACCACATTTAAATTGATATATAAATTTCATATAATCACATAAATTTCTAATAGCAAATTAGAAAACGAACGACGAAGGTTTTTGTAAAAAATGACTTAAAAAAAAAGAAGAAATAAATGAGGTTTCTTTCAATATAACACTTTTGTAACCTAAAATTTTCAATAATATTTTACGTATAATTACAATTGAAACATCAAAAAATACGAACAAGTAATAAATAAGTAACATTATACTTCAAAAACTAGTTAACTTAATCTTTTATTTTTTACTTACAATCCATTCTTGAGAACATTTTGAATTTTTTTGGATTTCTTTGATTCCATCAGGAAACTTTCGACCTAAATTTTCTTCTCTCGCTTTAAAATCAAGCATAAAGAAGTAAAATCCATTTCTTACTTTTTTTGACATTTTTATCAAATTAATTGCAAATTAAAATATGTAGAATTTTTAGTGCCTTGAACGTTTCAATCACTTTACGAACAATGACGATGTGCGTTTGAATAGCGAACGATACTTTAGTATCCAAACAAACACAAGTATGTAACGTACTCTTTGTTCTTAGTATTTAGACCATCAGCGCGCCGATTAGGTTTATTCGAATTTGTATACTAAATCGAAAAAAATGTGATTGGTTTATCAAGTGTCTCTGCTACTGTTATTTTGTATGTGTTTGTGTAAATCTATATTCAATGCAAGCTATACTGTATGTATCCAATGTTTTGTTTATATTAGTTTTTCTTAGCCACATCAGTTTTATCTCATAACGGAAAGTCGTAAAGCACTTTCATCTAACGCTTAGGCCGGAAAGACTTAGGATTCAGGATGAGCGTTAATAGTAAAACTGCAAGTAGGCTAGATTGAATATTTTATTAGAACTAGTAAAATTTATCAGGAAATGTCAAGTCAGAAGCGGGGTTGCTAATGAAGCCCGAGGGACAGAGTTTTTGAGCAGAATGAGGAGGCACAGGGATGCGAAAACGCGAAGAGGCGTGCAAAAGGTCACGTAAACGTGAGCAGAAGACACAAAAACCAACTAAGAGATAACCACAATCCAGAGGCGAGGAAAAATGAAACGTGAAGCGAGTCGTGAGGAAAGCTTGAAAAGCCGGTATGGACAGTGGGGAAGGGATAAACGTAGAAAACAAAAAATCAACAGTTAGTTTTCAAATTTGATTGGTACGTACAATTTTTGTCTCCCTCAGTGTTTTGTACGCTATGTTAGGTCGCGCTAGTTATTTTGAGCTCGAAATAAATAGTTGTCGGGTCCATAGCGAACGTGTGATGTGTGTGCAGAGACGTTGCAACTGAATAATAAAAACAAAACGTGTGTAAAGACCATTGCACATATAATTTTTTGTTTTTAATGGCTTGCTTCCAAAAACTCCTCTCGTGGATGACCTCAACAATGATCACCACTGGATTGCTTAGGGTTGACGAAGCTGACATACAAATGACTGATAGACGACAGGGTGATTTGTGTGATCTAGAAGAAAAAGCAGAATCGACAGTGTGGCACAGGGGTAGGGGTAGTCGGGGAGTTGGTCGTGAGATGACGAACGCGGCAGGCCAGCTCGGACATTGCTGACAACGAGAACGAAAAGCGAGAAAGGATCCGAAACGCGAGGTACACAGACGACCTTACCAAAAGAGGAAGGAGGTCAGACAGTGATGAGTAAAAGGAAGTTTAGCCCGCTGAGAAGGAACGCGGGGAGAAAAGAGGAAGAAACGCGGGTGGGCCGAACACGAACGAATATTAACAGGGGAGATACTGATGCGACGATAACGGGAGGGCTGGACGGGCAGAAACTGAGTGGTAGGGAGAGGCGGGGCACGGACGAAGGACACTGGGGCGAAACCAGCTGAAAAGAAGTGCGACGTCGTCTAACTGTAGGGGCGCTCTCGGGCGGCAAGACGAAAAACTTACGAAACCCAGGCACTCATCTATGTGTCACGCAAAGTCACCACGACTTGCGTCGACGCAAACATCGGTCTTTCTTATTTTGCTTTCTTTACTATGCTATTGAACTGTCGGCGTGGCAATGCGGATTACCGCAAGGATAAATAACTAAAACGGCAAACCGGTTGGGTTTGAGTGAACAGACGACAACACATTTGGCTGTTGTTTAGAGTTGTAGTGTTTTAAATTCTTTAAACGGATAATAGATGGGTGTAGATTGTTTGGAACGTCGGAAAAGGACGGGTAGAGTGGATCGACACACACGACAACGAGCCGTTAAAGACAGGTACAGACAAGTAGCGTGATTAGTCGACCAAAACGAGGGAGGGAATGGTCTAAAAGGCCGGTCAGGTGGTGAAGGAAAAACAAAGAAATAAAGTGCGCAATAAAGATCGAAGTAATGGTAAACAACCTAGGGTAGCTGCCGCAATAGAGGTACCAGAATGCTTTAGACAGGGAGATGAACAGTTCTTTAGTTCTCACATTGTCGGAAGCGATAATCTCGATAGTTTATTCAAACGATTCAGCAACTTCGACTCAATTTTCTCTCACAATTCAGTAGAAGATGATTGCATTTCCCTAGTGAAGGATACTTCAAAGTTTTGAATGACACTTTGGTGATCGTTATGCATTTTATTAGATGCTACGACACTCATCAACAATTGAACACATGTGATTTGTGTTTCTCTGACATGGACCACTTGGTAGAGGGCTACTGAACGCAGAGTAGCATTCGCAAAACGCAGGACAAACCAAAAAGAGTCAATAGAGCTGAAATACTTGCTGAATTCTCTAGGTAAAAAGCAAAGCAAATTCTTCGGAATTTCTAAATATATTCTGTTTTCAGTTATAAAGATGGAGTTTGTGTTGTGGGATGCTTTAGAATGTGCAAATAGGCGGATGGCTTTGTAGACTATTGTATTTTGAGTTTATAAACAGGTATGATGTATTGGAGTGTTTGTTTGGTAATCGCGTCATTACTTTTCCTATTTAGTTAATTTTATAAAATAATATTTTTCTTTAGTAATATAAATAAGTTTTTTTTAACACTCATAGTAGTACTACACAATTATTATTATTTTATTTCCTGTACTCTTTAAAAAGCTCTTCACAATAGCACTGACAGTATAAAAACACAGACACAAGAGAAAACAGTCGAAACTCTATTACTACAAATTTACATACAGAGACTCTCTTGGCCATCTAACTTACACTGTGTCAGCATATTTGTAACGCAAAGATTGTAATGCTCTGCTGATGAACTACACACAACTTGATAAAGTTGAGACACCACCCTACAAGAGAACGATGTGCTTTATTTATGAATATACGACCAAAATATTTTCTGGCAATGCCCAAAACATTGATCATTAAATAAACTTTTTAATCAACAGTCATTACATAGCATGAGGACGCTGGACTATTGTTTGTTTCGTAGGTGTCTGACACAATAATAGAGATTTCACTGACAAATTTCGTTCTCTATTCATCACTTTATATGAATTTTCCATAGAGATGCATACTGTCAAAGTGAACATGCGAAATTTCAATTAATTTTGATGCCAAGTATCTGGTAGGATATAAAAAGTTAATTTATCTCAATCGTATTTTTCGTTACTCACCATCTATCTAGTTAGACGGATAGAAACAACAAAAAATTGAAGAAGAAACATTAACTTGTCTTGAGGAAAGCTATTAAAGTAGAAGTAAAACTTTCTACTTTATACTATGCATGATCTAATTTTTTTTATCAGAAACATGAGGGTTGAATATCTTCTTTACATACCCGGCTCCTCATGTGATACGTGAGCTGACCAGGAAAAACATATTTGGAGCATACATTTCTGCTTCCATGCAATCCACAGGATATGTGTGGAATGACATGGCCAAAACCAATCTCAGTTTCCTACTATCGCGTTATTTCATGAGAAAGAGAAGGTTGGGTTGGGGAAGGAACGCGAAGAATTGGAAAAGGTAAGGATTTAGGACATTCTTTTTTTCTTTTGCTTTGATGGTTTCCTTTTGTATTGATTAAAATTATTTCTTTTATACAGCATCAGGAAAAAGTGTATTTTTATAAAACCGAAACATGAAGCTTTTCCATCAGAAAATCACCCTCCATACTGTTTGATGGCCACCCCATCGTCAGATATTGATTCAGTATTACGCGCGTTCTCACCGCGTGGTACGCAAACCATTTTCACTGATTCCCTTGTCTGTACTCTTGGATTCATCTGTCAAATTTGCGTTCATAAATAATATTTCCCCCGAAAGAGGATTTATTAAGAGGTCTTTTTTTAATTTTGCAGTACGTAGCGCTCTACTTCAATTCAACATTAGAGTTTATTATAGATAATATTTTTCATATTAATGGATTATTTTTTTCAATCATTGTTCTTACAAACAAGAATAATTTTTACATTTAAAATAAAGAGAATTTTAAAAACATTTTATCTGAAGTAATAAATCATGAAAAGTATTTTAAAAAAATGTTTTTAATTTTTTAAAATTATTTTAAGAAAAAACTTTCACAAAAAAGTATATTTATTTTACAGATGGTTATTTACATGAACTCAAATTTCACATAACTATAATAGTGATGGAAAATCAAGTCTCTTTCATCGCTACAATTTAAAAAATTTCAATGAATAATAATCCATTCATTTTGTACATATTTCGAATAGATTTTACAATAATAATCTAGATGCAATACCATACAAAAAATGAAATGCCGAATGAAGCAAAGAAGAGTCCGGCAGCAAAAATGACTACGAGTAACAAGAGATTGTATCTTGATGTGTGAAAGAAACGTGGAGTTAACATAGCAAGTGGGAGAAATAGAGGTAAAAAATGACACATGTATAAATTAGCGAGTCTATTGGCTTCGTTGGCAAGCTATAAAAATAAACAGCTTAAAACGAAATGCGTTTATGTGTAAGGGAACTGTAGTATATAAAGTGTTAACCCCGAGATTGACTTGAAAAAAATGAATGCAAAGGTGCGAAAAAATGGCGGATGGATAATAATATGTACTGGGACTGTCAGAGGTTTTGGGGGGAGAGTGTGGGCTGTCGCGAATGAAAATTGAGCAGGAGAAGCAAACAGGAATAAAACAATAAACGTGGAAAAATAAACATAAAAATTATGTACGCTGGGTACTGAGGTGTGAGTTAGAAAAAAAATAAACCATTTTTTATTATACTTATTAGTGTGCTT